TGTAAACCGATTATGATAATATAATAACAGATGTTTATATAATTTTTTATTAAACTTATATAAAAATCAATAATGAATAGATTTCATTATTTGTAAATTTGGTTCATGATTTAATTGTGTATTTTTTCCACAAAATGAATCATTATTAATAGATGAAAAACATAATAATCGTGATGCTCTTGTCATTAATTGTTGATGTTGCGTTTGAATTCGCATTCGATTATCCCAAAGTTTTTCAAATAAAATTTTTTCTTGTTCACTTAGTTCATATGATGATGGAGAACAAGATTTTATTTCTTCTTTTACTTGAGCAGAATTTTTTTCTCGAGCAGAATTTTTTTCTTGAGCAGAATTTTTTCCTTGACAAAAATTTTCCTCTTTTTGAACAAGAGAATTACAATTATTTGCTTTTTCTTCTATAATTTCACAAGGATTAAGACTCTGTACAGAAACTAATGATAATCCATTACCAATATCTTTTAATATTTGTTTATATTCATCATCTACAAATATAAAAGATAGTTCAATAAAATAGAAATTAAAAGATATAAGAGATATACTCATTGAATAGATAAATATATTATTTAATTGAATTGAATAAACTATTGTTGGTAAAGAATTGAAATTAATATAAATTTGCATTGGAATATTAGATTTATAAAGCTAAATAAAACAAAAAATAATAATTGAATTGAATAATATATCTAAGAAAATTTTTTTACAAATTTTTGACGATTATTTCGAAATCGATAATAATTCTTATCTTGATGAAATTGTCGTTTTCCTAATGTAATTGAACATTTACTTGCTCGAATTTGATATCGAAATAATATTCGATTTGATAATGATGGATATTGATCAGTACGTTGAAGATAATTTTTAAACCATCGACTTAATATTTGAGAAAAATCAATCTAAATTTTTGTTGTTATTGTTTTTTTTTTATATGTTTAACTTTTAGAGAAAAGAAAAAAGACACAAACCATAATATAAGCTGATTTTATTTCATTGAATGATTGTTGTAATAAATCAAAAGCAGTAAGAATTTCATAGCGAACGAAAGGATGTTTTATATTCAATGAAATAATAACATTTCCTTAAACAAAATTTAAAAAAAAGCGTAATGAAAAAGAGAATATTTATAAAATAAATTACTTTCAGTTGGTAATTCTTTTGTATAAAGTTTAGAATATTTAAGTTTACAAACAACAATCCATTCTGTAGCATTAGTTAATGGAGGTATTAGTGCTTGAAGTGCAGCACCCGATGTAACTAATAAATGTCTAATGTTTTTTTCGAAAAGAATAAAAATTATTTTTATAATTACTTTTTTTTTACAACGAACCTTGAAAAATGAGTTTTTGATCTATTAAATAGACCAATTTTTTCTCGATCTACATCATCAGCAAAAACAATGATATCTTTAGGTATAATTAATTCCTTTTGTTTGCAATATTCTTGATCTTCACGATTATCAGTAGATATTGCCTTTTGTCTTAACAAAACAACATTCGATTGTGTAGTTTTTAATTTAAGTCTATCTGATTCTTGTCGATTTTTTTGTCGTTGATCAGATGATGATTCTTCAGTTTTTGTTTGTTTGAATTCGAGTCTTTGGGAAAGTAATGATGGTGAACGAAGAAAATCAGATAATTCGATAATTTTCAACGGCACTTCTTCCTCCATTATTACATTTTCATTTCATAAAAATGAATGAAAAATGAATAATAGGTATACGAATAAAATCGTTCGTGCATGAACATATACGCAAGGAGAAAAAAAGAAAGAACCCTATGATGCAACACAAAATGTATGTATATCATCATCGATAAACATCGAAATGCATACAAGTTTACCTTCAAAATATAATTCAAAGAATAATTATAGATTGAAACACATGATTACAATTTTGAATTAAGACATCTTTCTCTTTCTCATATCAGAATAAATCTATATATTATAGTTATTTCACAATAGTTCACAATATAAAAATTATTATCAACATTTGAATAAATTAAATAATTATTCAAACCTGAGAATAAAAATAAAACAATAATATTATCTTCTATTCAACCATTATCATAGAGGCGCGGAACGTTTTAAAATTTGGTGCGACTCTGTAGCAGTTTACTTGTTATTCTAAAATAACTTTCCACATTTCAGCCTGAGATAAATTGAGCGTCTGGGGATGCGGATAGGTATGGGTTTACGTGAAGACTAGACACAGAACCATCCACATATTCACACTCGTACACATCATAAGAATTGAATCGTACCGTTTAATTACAATTTGATTAATCGAAAATGAACAAACTAGGCAAACATTTCCAGAATAATATAACTAACATAAAAAAAAATTATTATTTCATATGGAATCAATTCTAGTAGGTTAGACAATAAAAGTAACCTACGAGTTTTACTTTTATTCTTTATAATTTAAATATGCACCAGTCTCAATTCACTGCGTATCCACTTAACTGATCTATATCAGAACTATCAACAGGCTAATTTTTTTGGCCTAGCCAGTACGGTAAACCAGGCCGACTGATGTTTCTGTTGTTTTAAATCCAAGTAGTTCTATAGCCTTATTATAATGTATCATTCTAGTCTCAGTTATACACTTAATTTATTTTCATGAAGATAGTATAATGACAAGTTCTTGGACAAAATAGTGAATTCAAATAAGGAGATATCTCATCTAAAATATGTTTCATGCAGGAAACATTAGATTTATCGAAATATTTTTGAATATATCAATACTATTTCATATAATCGAAAAAATCTAATTATGATAGAAAAACAACATACAATCAGGCATACAACGGAGAGGTAAAAGAGTGTGGGTGACTATGTATGATGAGATGATCCACACTCATAACTTTAGAAAACCATGATCTTTTGGTCCTATCTTATATTTCGAATTATACTACGAAAAATAATATCGCATCACACACAAGCCAACAACTTTAGTCTGCCCTGTTAGCCTGGTTTAATATTATATGAACGGATTAGGTCAAACTAAAATTTCAAAATTCAATCTGATCTGGTGATCGACTAGGCAGCAGGCACAGTCTGATAGGTTTGATTTATACTTCATTGGACGACTAGTATATTTCTTTCTTTCTAATGCATTGTAATTATCTGAATATGAGGCTGCTAAAGTATTGATGTGAACTATGATATGGAATTGATTCATTATTCTTGTATTATTACATGTTCGATTATTATTATGCATCAAATTATAAATTAACTTCCTATGAATTAAATAGATTTTTTTAAAGGCATTGAATCGAAAACAGTTTTCTTTTATAATCATCGTTTTGATTACTTCCTTCCACTATTAACTACTATTCAACATAATAAGTTTCTTTTACCGTCTTTTGCAGAGAAGACTGCTTCCTATTTGAATATTGCTCAAGTCAGGAAGGAAATTTTTTATTGATTATAAAAAAACATAATCAAAGAAATATAATTAACATTATAAAAATAATGAAAAGTTATAACTGATACATACTCATTCAATATCAGCTCTATTCTCTACATATATCATTATAAACAGTACGAATACTGTTAGTCGCTTTCTGAAAAATCGATACTGTTAAACAATGCTATTCTATCACAGCCGCATGCTGAAGTAATAATTTCATAAGTTCTGACACAGAAAGACAAAACAATTCTTTTATCATGAAAATGTTACAATAAATTTTATAGAACAACGGTCTTGATATTGCAGTTAGATAATATTTTTATAATTACGTTCATATTTGTTTCAAAACTATAGCAGCATATTTTTATTATTATGCTGAACTCAGTCAATTCATGTTTTAATTAGCAAACAATTTTCTAATAGGCAAAGCGATTTGATAAGTAATAAATTACGTCTAGTAGATAAAACTCATATTAAATACAATGCAAATATGTTTGGTAAAACACATAGATTTTAGAACGAATGCTGTGGAGTATAGGACTAACAAATGATTTGACTTCTCGGTTAAATTATAATATATTATAGTCGTCTGATGAATTATAATTCAATTAAGTGAGTATCCATTTACGACCGAGCTGGTACATATCTATTTATAATTGCATATTACAAACTAAAAGACATAATCAAGGTTTACATACAGAAAAACGTCCTATTCCTATGTTTCAAAAACAAAATTTAGTCTCTTTCTTTCTGCTTAAATCATTAATGATGAAAAAATTTGAATAGAAATATTGAAATATATTATGAAACTGTTTAGTTTCTGTTTTGTTATCGCACATTTTCTAACATAAATTCAAAAAATGATCTTCTTTTTTCTACAATATGTTAATTAAGTCTTTCATCCATTCGTTTTTCTGCCTATACCTCAGGTGAAAAAGGTACGGTCGAAAATTGTAGAAACTTAGAAGCAGGAATCCACTGATTGAATTCGGTGATCGGATCTATTTAGTTCCTGTCAGAACTAACGGTAATCGGGCAAAGCCGGGAAACTCGATACGATCATTGGATTCCGTCTTCTAAGTTGCTAACATTTTCTGACCGAAAACGGTGTCTTTCCTGTGGATTCCCACGAGAATTTTACGGATCCGAGTCCTGGAATTATCGATTCGGGACAGTATAAAACTAACTTGTACTCAGTTCAACCTTTTAATTTTTCTTTTTTCTGTCTTCTTTATTATTTGCATTATAAAAAGAAAGAACAGAATACGAAAATGTTTCGCAACCTATCACTACCATTCATTAACGATCAGATTTATTTACTTACTCAAGAAAAAGGAATTATTTTATTGACTGAAATCATAGTTTGTAAGATAGGAATGAATTCTGTTATTCTAATATTGTAACCGAAGTAACATGATGTAAATAAATTATTGATCCCATTCTGTTTTCATTGCAAAGACGAAATAAAATAAAAGTAAGATAAAATATAAACTTTTAATTTTGACATGTCAAATTATGAAAAAATTTTGAATTTTTCGGAAAATTCATTCGAAAAAAAAATCATTATCATTAACAGAAAAAGAAAAAGTACAGTGCTTTTAAGCTTTAGTGATTTGAATAAAATGTATTTTAATATCTTCTAGTTGCATTCCAAGGAATTTGACCTGGTGGTGGTTGTGGAGCATAAGGAGGTCGAGGATACATAGGTACTGGTGCTTGATAATATTGTGGTTGAGGAGGAGGAGCAGGAGGACCATAATAACTCGGTTGGGGTGCTGCATAATAGGCCTGTTGCTGTTGTTGTTGTTGTTGTTGTAGTTGTTGTAGTTGTTGTTGTTGTTGTTGTTGTTGT